GCATGGTAGAGAGCGAAATAGTGCATTAGTCCAGTGATCACCCAAAATAGTTCAAACTAGTAATATACGGCAGCAGTGCTAACCGACGCTCACCTTTTCGTGGAGATAGAGGACCAGGCATACAACCAAAACCCTAGCCACCGCCCCATCTACTCCCTTTGTCGCCGTTGTCGGGGCGTGTCACTGGGTAAAGCCCGTGTGGTGGCGGCATCATCGGGGAGGTCCTGACGGGGAGCGACCTACTTGTGGAGGAGTTGGAAGGCTGCCGCGGGAATGTGAAGAAGATGTGTGTTCGAGTTGCGGTCTTCCTTGGGCAGTGCTCCACGGCGCTGTTTGCGATCCAGCACAACGATCTTCAACGGGGACCCGGCTTGAGGGAGTCGATGCATGGTTCTATATTGCGTCCAGCTCGACATCAGACCCGGGCATGTTGTGCAGCATCATGGGTGACTATTTTGACTATTCAAGAATTCATTCGATTAATCAGTTAACGAGCCAATTAATCACTACTCATAGCGTGGCCGAATCAAATAGCACTTATTCATCGCGTTAACTTGTGAGGCCGATTAATTGGCCTGTTAGACCGATTAATCGGTTGTTAGGCCGATTAATCGCTACGGGCCCATTAAATTCTGGGCAAACAAAGCCCAAAGTTTTGCCTCGTAACCCCACCCATCCCCCTCTCGCTCCTCAATAGCTATGGTTCGACCAAACAGTAGAATATTTTAGTATACTACATGCTGAGATCATGAAAGTATGGTATAATACATAAAAAACTAGATATATGTTGGCAAGTTCCTATTTAATCACCGATTAACGGTGTACCGACTAATCCAGTTAATAGGCCGATTCACCGATTAGTGGTTACTCCCAAGCCCACCGAGCAACTACCAGTTACCGATTTCCTGAACAATGCTTTTTTCATGTATTCTTTAGGGAGTTTCCGAGTTAGGTTTGGGGCGGCAAAGCGGCAGTGTTGTTTTACTGTAGGAATAATATTCTCCCACTCTTTCCCCTTTCTATTGTTGTGCTTATCGCCGGAGGGGGCATATGGAGCTGTGACTCCGGCAGGGGCGTGTGGAGCTGTGTCGCTAATAGCAATAGCTCATACAATTATTTTGAAGGAACCAATAGGTCGTGCATAATTTAATATGGTCTGTCTAGGGCACATCTAGATGTGCCCTAGTTATTGCACATTTAAGTGACTCAATTAAACTAGAAAAAAAAAGACAACTGAAAATGCTTGCATGAATCTTAGCGTAAATCAATGACATATGACTTATGCTAGAAGAGTTGGGCGCGCCTTGCTGTGCCATTGATGTTGTCGGGTATCTTATAAAAAATACTCACTTTGTTTCAAAATACAAGGTTTATTACTTTTTGAAAAGTCAAACCTTTTTAAGTCTGATCAAATTTGTAGATAAATATATCAAATCCATAATATCAAATTGGTATAATTAGAATCATCATGAAATAAATCTCTACTCCCTCTGTCCAGAAATACTTATCGAAGAAATGAATAAAAATGAATGTATCTAGAACTAAAATACGTCTAGATACATTCATTTCTCTGACAAGTATTTTCGGACGAAGGGACTATATTTTGTTCAATATTGTGGATGTCGATATTTTTGGCTCACTTTCCAAAAAACTATACCACTTATATTTTCAAATTGATGAAATATTTAGCTCGGCAGGGCGGGGAGATGATGGAGTGCTTTTTTATAACACGGTGATTTGATGGGCCTTTCGCTGTGTGATTCTGTCTTGTCTAGTAATAAACTCAGTAATTGCATGTACTATATAGGTCCTAAAGTATCAGATGTGGCGTTTCCTGTTTTCTAGGTGGTGGGAGGGTGCGCAAGATTGATACGTTTCTATAGGCCGGCTGATGCTGATTGAATGCCTCATTGGCCCGATCAAAATCATAAATCAAATCTAAAGTTGAATACCTCAATCGAATGAAAGAGCTTCAAAATTAGGGAATATAGTGAATTAAAATAATTGAACGGGAGAGCAGCTCGAGAAATTGTTGACCCGGTCAAAATCGAGTGACCCAATTATAAATTGAAGAGAGGTCTTAAAAATTAGGAGAAGCATAATGTATAGTATAAAAGAAATGAATGGGGGAGCTTTGAGAAATTGTTGACCCGGTCAAAATCGAGTGACATTAGCAAGCTTAGTATTGTTGACCCGGCCAAAATTGGTTAAACAATTTGTAAATTGAAGACATCAATTGGAGAGGTTTGAGAAATTGTTAACCCGGTCAAAATCGGGTGATCCAATTTCAATTGGAGACATCGATTGAATGTGAGCTCTTTACAGTTAGGGAGGTTTGTGTTATAGAGGATAACTCACTTTTATTTATGGACGCCGATAACTGCCACACGTTTGGTATATTCGACATGTGCCCACACACCATGTGTGGTGTGAGCAGGAGGCAGCCCACATGGGCTGTGTGTGGGCGGACATTAGAATTGCCCACACGTGTGGGCGCAGCTATTTCATGCCACACGCCAACAAGTACTACTCATCTTCACCCCGCGCGTGTGGCATGAAGCAAAAATGCTCACACGTCCTGGCGCAGCTACGTTAGGTACACCGCGGGATGACAATTTAGTTGTCATCCTGGTTGGCAGATGTAGTTATGTGGGATGGCAAGTGTAGTTGTAAAAGGATGGCAATTCTATCTGTTTTGGTTAACTATAGTTGCCATGTATAATTTATGATAGTTACCGCGTGTAATCAAATCGTAGTTGCCGCGTGTGATTAACTACTTGCGACATATGGTCAAACAGTAGTTGCCACGTGTGGTCCAACCGTAGTTGCCATGTATTGTTAATCACAGTTGCCATCCACAACGTAGGAGTGTCGTGTGGGCGAAAAACTGTTCGCCCACACGCGCATGAAGTAGGTGGCTGGCTGTGTGGGCAGAAACTAGTTCGCCCACACAACGCAGCTGGCAAGAAGCGTGGTGCGAGCGTGTGGGCAAACTCTCCAACGCCCACACACCAGCCCCGTCCTACGTGGCACACCAAATCCACCTTCTCGTGTCAAGATTCGTGCAAAAGACAGTGAACGACGATCCAAGTATGTTGGCGAGTTGGAAAACGCCCACACGTGTGGGCGTTAGTGTTTTCTTTATTTATTTACACCAATTCGAAAACTTACAGGGCAACTTCCTGGTATTTTTAGAAAGCAATCTCAG